TCAATATTTCTCATTTTTAAAAATATGGTCGGTTGGTTCCTTATTCCAAAATATGGGTAATCAAACAAGCAGTTATAATGGGTAATCAAACCTCGAATCAAACTGTTCTTCATTCAAGAAAAAAATAGTTCCTCTAACGAGGCTAGTTTTAACATGTTTAGTCCTCTCGACATTCCAAGGCAGGGATTTTGTAGTTTTTTGTTCTGCTACACAGGTGCTCCGCTACTACATTGTGGTTCTTTATCCCAAAAGAAATATAGGAGAAACGATATTTTCGAAATACAAATTTCAGTTAATAGATGTCGCTGGGTTTATTGTATCCTTGTAAAAATTGGTGATGGGGTGGGATCCCTTTATAGTAATGTGTTTAGCGTAGAGCCGCCGTAGAATCTCATTTTTAGCCATTTGGCGGTTGGTTCCTTTCTCTATATCACCATCCAATTGTAAACTGTTGATGGGGTTTTCCCGTAAATAAATAAATAAAATAAATAAAAATAAAAAAAAAGAAAGACAATTTTACAGTTTAAAATATAAAATATCACAAAAAGTTATCACAAGTCTGGCCAACAGTTGGTTTAATTTCTGAGGAAGAAAGTTGAAAAGTTTTATACACATGTAGGTGGGTCCAGTTTCAGTGACAGCCAGCCTGTGCACTGGATAGTTTAAAACAATTGACCTTATGTTTGTGTTCTGGGAGATAGTTGAGTCTATTCTATTCTATCAAAGTTTCTATGTAGGAACATAAGACATTCATAGATATAGATACCTGGTAGTGTAAGAATGTTTGTTTCTTTGAATTGTTCTCGGCAAGACTCTCTGTAGGACAAGTTAAAAATTTGTCTCAGTATACATTTTTGCATAACAAACGCATCTCCTTCGCATCCTGCTCTACCCCAGAATATTATTCGATAGCGTGCAAAGGAATAGAAAGTAGCATAGTAGACAGATAATAGTGATTTTCTGTCTAGGAATTGTTTTAGAACACTGAAAGAATAGCAGGTGCTACTAAGTTTTTTAGAAAGAGCTTGATTTTGTTTGTTCCATTTTAGGTGGTGATCTATTTCTATTCCCAGAAATTTTACACTATCTGAGAGCCTTACATTTTGGGAAGAAATATTTAAACCTGTTGGTTGGTTATTAGCTGACTGAAGGGTATGAAAACTCATAAAGATGGTTTTATCTGTGTTTAACAGCAATAAATTACTGTTTAACTAGTTTTGGGCTCTACCAAGACAGAAAGTTGCTTGCTCTTCGAGTTGCAAGAGGAGCAGTGACACTGGCATTTGTGGTGTCATCAGCAAAATAAACTGTCTTTACATGATCACTGGTTATATGGGACGAAAAATCGTTTATATAAAGGACAAAGAGAATAGGGCCAATAACACTTCCCTGCGGGATGCCCCTGGTGACCTCCTTGCTCTCAGAACAAACAACCCCCTCATCCTTTTGAATAGTTACCATCTGTGTTCTATTCGCAAGATATGACTCCAGCCAGAGCAGAGCAGAGCCTGTCACTCCATATATCTTGAGCTTGTCCAAAAGAATCTGGTGATCCAGACTGTCAAAAGCTTTGGACAAGTCCAAGAAAGCTCCAAGAGTGCTTTTGCTATCCTCAAGATTTTCGTAAATCTCCCCAATAAATTCAAAGATGGCAGTTTCAATTGATCTATTCTTTAAAAAACCGTGCTGAGAATGGCTTAGCGGATTATGCGTGAAAAAAAAAGTCTAAGAGCCGATTACACATTGCAGTTTCAAAGATTTTAGAAAAGGAGGGTATATATACTTAATAGACTGTGAGATAGGGGCTGTTTAGTGGAGTCATTTTTTTTTTTTGTCTGGCATTTTGAGGGCTGAATATGGCTCCTAAGCTGATGAGAATATGGGTGATTTTAATGCCGGCCTCTTGTTCGAAAAGTTGCAGAAAAAAAAAAAATTGATTTACATGAAGAATTTTTTTTTAATGGTCTCAAATTTTCTGGCTTTTAAATAAAAGATTGACATTGATAAATAATTCACCCATGAAAAATATCAGATGCTTTCCAATAGCTGAAAAAATGGAGATGGGTGTCAACTTCCAATAGAAAAGAAAAGAACCTTCCGCGTTTACTTTTTGTCTGGCAAACGAGAGAATGAAAGGTTTTGTTGTGAAAATAACGCTGAAAAATCACCAGACGGTAATCACAGTTCGAAATCGAGTTTTCTGGCGAAACATTCTGTGGACATTTCGAATAGAAGGCAGGCATTAAAACCACTTATATTCTCATCAGCTAACTAGTCACATTCATCCCTTCAAATGCCAGACAAAAAAAAATGACTCCACTAAACAGGCCCTATCTCAGGGTCTATAAGTATATATACAATACTTTCAAATTTTTTATATAGAAAAGGCTTGTGTTACCAACATAGTTACTAAATTTTTTGACTTAGGTAATTATCATATAAGTATACCTAATACCACAAGAGAAAAAATTTTGCTGGCAAAATTTTCGACTGGTATGAAAGTTTGTTGCTTGGCAATTTCGCGAATGACATTTTTGACAAAACCACCGTCAGGCAGTGGTTTTGTCAAAAATTTCATGAGCGAAATCACCAAAAAGCAACAAACTTGAATAAAACCAAGAGAATAATTTTGCCTACATAATTTTTTCTTGAGTGGTATTCGGCTGGACTATTTCACGAGAGAAACAAGCCAAATTTTCATTTGGAAAATTTATTTTTTTAGGTGACACTTGTCAAACTCAATAGATTTGTACATTATCCAAACCATCCACACAAAATTTTGTCGCTGAAAAACCATCATGTTGGTTTTGTCCAGGTAGGAGTTTTGTCAGTAGGAAACCGGCCGTTCCTATGACATTTTGCCAGTTTAAAACACTCTAGTGAAATAGTCTTAAAAAAAAAACAGACTTTAGTCATCTAAGATCAATAAACTATAACCAAAAACTGGAATGAGCACACATATTGGCGAACGTGAAGCCTAGTGCCGCTGCTGCGGCACTCATTATGTTAAATGGCGGAAATTGCTCCAACACGTATTCCATTTGATGAAACCTGTGAAGGTAAATATGACAAAACTTTCCAAAACGTCATATGTCAGCGAGCAACAGAAAAAAACAACATTTCCCTTTGTGGCATCTATCTGTCTTTCATGGCTTCATTTTTTGGCAGATATGGCAATGTGTGCGCATTCCAGTTTTTGGCTATAGTTCATTGTCTAAGATGTTATTTAGCTCCATTGTTGATCTTATTTACTTAACATCATTTTTCATCAGGAACTTATTTTGAATAAGTCATTTTCTGACTTTAATTTTATTGGTGTCTGGTGTCTCATTTTCTTTTTCCTCCAGGTATATTACCCCATTGTTACAGAATGCAGCAGCATAATTATTCTTCTTCTTTTTGTCTTTCACTTTCTTGAACAATAGAGCTCTTTTTCTCCCACTGGAAGCTGGAAGGGCCTCATCTATATAAATCTTCCTATCATTTCTCTCCAGCCCACATTTAGAGACTGTTGTTCCTTTTAAGCCTCGAATCTTCTTGATTATTTCTTTCTTCGTATTTACATTACAGTCTAACCAATATTGGGCTATTCTCTTTGTTTCCAAGTCTAGAACTTTCTAACACCTCATTTGTTCTCCATTTTCATGTTGAAACTTTTATTATTTTATTTAAAATAGTAGCAACTTAAGACTTTGGGGATATAATCCTAATAAAAATAACTACCAAATGACATATCACTCGACCCCTTTTTCCATTTTAAATTTTGGGGGTACCTGTCACCACCACTTAGGGGTTGACAGGTAAAGGGTGAAAATACCAATAAAATGTGTCCCACAAAAAATGATGTGTCTGAGCGATTTTTGATTAAACACGTAACACCTGAGAAACCCTGGGTGGGAAAATTTCTGTGCCCCATCCTGTATATGAAAAACTGTATACAGAAAAACTTTGAAAATTTGACATTATACTAATGTCAATAGAAGCAACCCGGTTGAAATATTTTCAAGATTTCCAGTTAAACCAGAAGTAGACGTTTACTTGCTTATTCTAAATGAGACACCCTGTATGTGATTGCATTTGGATTCTACAGAAAAATCTGAGCAAATTTCATGTAATATATCCTATACCTTGCCCTATACCTCAGGTAAACTGTTTTGGAAATGTTGACAGTTGAAAATTGACTTTTTTGCAACTTTGGCAGGCTGTAAAACCTAAACGGGTAATTTTAGAGGAAAACCGATCTTACATTCTCATCTTAGATTTTCAACGTTTGAAATCAACTTAGAATTTAAATGGAGATTAAATTTAATTGGAATTTTTGATCATGGATTAAATTCAAAGTTTATAAAAATCTAAGACAAGAATGTAAAGATTGATTTTCTTCTAAAATTAACCGTTTAGCTTTTACAGCCTCCTGTCAGAGGTGCAAAAAAGTCAATTTTCAACTGTCAATAATTCCAAAACAGTTGAACTTAGGTATCAGGGTATATCAGATGAAATCTGCTCAGAATTTTATGTAGAATCCAAATATGCAATCATACAAAATGTCTCATTTAAAATAAGCAAGTTGACGTCTACTTTCAGTATAACCGGAAGTGCCACCATCTTGAAAATATTCTAGCAGGGTTGCCCCCATTGACATTGGTTTACTGTCAAATTTTCAAAAATTTTCTGCATACTTACGGTTTTTCATATCGGGTTTTCAAAAAGAAAAACAATCAAAAATTGCTATGGTCTCTTAAACGTATGTTTTAACAATATTTTTCTTCAATTTTGTCTATAAACTTTAATGTCAAAATGTCATGTTAAAAATCCTGACTTATAAAGTATCAGTAATGCGATGTACGTTTTCGTAATCAAAGCAATCTTTGATAATTTTTTTTAGAAGACCCGTTATATAGATCGATTTGGTTCCCGGTGGAACACCCTGTATATCTTTCATTTATCTCCTACTTACCATTATATCCAAGCATTTGATAGTCACATTTTTTCCTTTACAGTTGCATTACAAGCCCTCAAAAAAAAGAAACGACTGGAAAAGACCCTCCAACAAGTAGATGGAACTTTAACTACCCTCGACTTGCAAAAGGATGCCTTAGAAGGAGCCAATACTAATGCCGCAGTACTCATTTCCATGAGAGATGCGGCTGCGGCTCTCAAACATGCTCATAAGAACTTGTAAGTAACCCTCTTTAATCTAATTTTTTTCAGTATTTAATTTCTATCCTTTCTCTAGGGATATTGATAATGTCCACGATATTATGGACGACATAGCCGAACAACACGATATAGCTAATGAAATATCCAATGCCATCAGTAACCCTGTAGGATTTGGTGAAGATATCGATGAAGACGAATTAACCAAAGAACTGGAAGAGTTGGAAGCGGAAGAAATGGAAAAAGAGCTTGTGGAAGTGCCCGGACCAAGAAAACTACCAGAACTTCCAAATGCAGAGGATTTGGAAGAGGCGGCGGCCAAAGAGAAAGTCAAAAAACCAGCCAGTAAGGATCACAATTTTTTGTTTCTTAAATATGTAATATGTAATAAATAAAATTATTTGTAGAAAAAGTGGAAGATCAAGATGACCTAAAAGAATTGGAAAATTGGGCCTTATAAATCAATTTCAATAAAACACTGAAAGAAGCAAAGAAAATTATACAAGATAGACAGCTGCAAAGCTACAAGTTTTTAACAAAAAATATCTTTGACAAAATAATTATTATATTCTAAGCGAGATTTTATTCTATCTTATTTTTTAAAAGAAGTGTATCCAAAAAATAAATCTAGTCTTGTGAAAATTGTAAAAAACTTCATCCTACTCGTTATATTACTCAAAGAAATAATGGTATCAAATATTTGGAAATGTTTGTTTTAATGATAGACTTATTGAATCACAATAGGCTTTTTTTGGGTACACGTCTAATTAAGATGAAATCTTTATTTTCGTTTTCAGTTGAAAATAATATTTTTTACCTGATTTTTCTTTTGTATAAACCTAATCTGATAGGTATCTGCCAGCTGTTATGATGAGGTTATATTTTGTAGAGATGCAAACAACAAATTTTTGAAAGAAAATCAGGCAAAAAAATTTGTGATAGTTCACTAAAAATCGAATAAGTGTAAGTGTAATAGATTTACTAAAAAATAATAATACTTTTTATCATTGTGCTTGAGGCTAAAAAAAAACTTAAGTGAGAGATGCCTTATTGCTGAAAATAAGTAGCTTTTCAACATCTACAATTAGCTGTAAATATTTTATTAAGTTGAAATGGTTTTAAAGCCATACAAAATAAGGGAAGTTTTTTTTTAATTGCTATTATCACGTTTTTTGTTATATGTATTTCACTACATTAAGGATTGTATTTGGTAAATTTGAATTAATATATTTATATTTAGAAAAAAAAAATTCATATATATTTTTTCAAGAAAATTTTAAGTTATAGGTATAGCTATTTAGTACAGCGGATTAGCTAACCTATTGTGCACTTTTTGATAAAGGCACCAAATTTGGCGCAGAGGTAGACCGATGTAATATGAACAAATATGGATGTGGAGCCATCGGCCAACTGCCCCCCGAAAGTCAACTGAAGTTAGATAAAGTTTGCTGCTGAAGGTTTTAGTGAATGATTATTGATTGTTTTCTATGAAAACATGGCAGATAGTTTGTAAATTATACACGGTGGGGCACGAAAAGCTTCCCACCACCCAGGTTTTAGGTGATTAATCAAAAATCACTCAGACACCTTATTTTTTGTTTTTTGGACGACACAGTAAATAGTACCATCTTAAAATTTAGGTTTTCTCAGGTGTTATGATTAATCAAAAATTGCTCGGACGTCAATTTTTGTTTTTTGGGCTACACATTTTATTGGTATTTTCACCCTCTACCCGCCAAATTTCAAATGAAGAGGGGGTTCAAGTGGATACAATGTACTACATATTTCCTAACTTTGATAAGCTGCCATTTCGGCAGCTACTATTTACCCTGCCGCAACTTAAAATTTCGAAGATATAATCTTAATAAAACTTTCCATCAAATGATGTATCATTCGACCCCCTTTTAAATTTTGGGGGAACTTGTAACCCCCGCTTAGGGGTGGATAGGTAGTGGGGTGAAAATACCAATAAAATGGTCGAGCGATTTTTGATTATCCACCTAACATCTGAGAAAACCTGGGTGGGGATTTATTTGTGCCCCGACTAGTGTATTCAAGGTGTCCCACGATGTTTTACCCAGGTGATAACTTCGGAACGCGACATCCAATATAATTGAAATTTTGAGGATCTGGGTAGCTTTTTGTGCCGCTTCTACATGCGTTATCCAATTTCCCTTTCGCTTCAGTTTCGGACCAATCAAGTGACGGCAACTTTACAATCTTAAATGTAATTGATGGTTTTATATCATTTTTCGTTAGAAAATCAAATTACAAAATCGGCAATGCCATATTTGCTAAGGCTTTGTTGGAGAAAATGATGAAAAATTACAAAGTGGAACATTTGATGACGCGTTCTGAAGTTATCAATTGGGTAAAACGTCGTGGGACACCCTGTATATACAGAGTGGGGTACGAAAAACGTCCCACCCAGAAAATTATGCGATGTGGCAGGTGGTAACAAATGCCCTTGACTTGTTACGCATCCACTCTCTTTCCTAATAAGGGTTTGTGTGCCTCTTGTCGGACATTTTTATTTAAGTTTGACAGCATCTTGGAATTGTCAGCCTATCCAAAACACGTGACTTTGACAAGCAAGCAACGAGTTGGTGTGCCTCTTGGCGGACATTTTAATTTCAATTTGACAGCATTTATTTTGGATAGTCTAAACTACAGTGACTTTATTACCACAGTGGCGACAATTGCGGTCTCATTTTTGATTGGTTCAAAAATCCCATATGTTTATATTGAAAATGCCGCCATCTTGTTCCCAACCTCTTGTTACTTTTAAATATGAATATATAGGATTTAGGTGAACATCCATCATAAAACATGGAAAACAACGTATTTGATTAACCTAATAATGGTCATCAAATATGCCGATTTTAATTTTTTATGATAGATGTTTATTTAAATCTTATATATTAATATTTGAAAGTAACAAGAGGTTGGGAACAAGATGGCGGCGGGAACTCTATTGTCGCCACTGTATGTAAAGGTTTATTTAGCCACTGTAGTCTAAACCATAGACACCCAAACTGGGTCAGTTAAGTTAGCCCCCCCCCATATTTCCAAATCCATTAAAACTTATATCATTTTTTTGCACCCATTTTGCACCGTTTTGCACCACTCGGAAAAAAATTTGCACCCCCTCAGGAGAGAGACTATATAGAAGTATTACTGGGGGGGGCCAAATTAACCATGGCCCCCCCTCCACACGCCAAATTTCAATTTAAAATAGCACAAATTGTTCTCCGAGTTTTGCACCATGAATATTAAATTTTGCACCGCAACCCTTAGGCCTTTACAGGGGGTTGAAAAAGAAATAATGCCCCCCCCCCCCAACACACCAAATTTCAATTTATAATAGCACAAATTGTTCTCCGAGATTTGCACCATAAATATTAAATTTTGCACCGCAACCCTTAGGCCTTTACAGGGGGTTGATAGAGAAATAGTTGGCCCCCCCCACACGCCAAATTTCAATTTAAAATAGCACAAATTGTTCTCTGAGTTTTGCACCATTTTGCACCAAAAATATTAAATTTTGCACCGCAAGCCTTAGGCCTTTAAAGGGGGTTGAAAGAGAAATAGTTGGCCCCTCCCACACCACACGCCAAATTTCAATTTATGATAGCACAAATTGTTCTCCGAGTTTTGCACCATAAATATTAAATTTTGCACCGCAACCCTTAGGCCTTTACAGGGGGTTGAAATAGAAATAGTTGGCCCCCCCCACACGCCAAATTTCAATTTAAAATAGGACAAATTGTTCTCCGAGTTTTGCACCATGAATATTAAATTTTGCACCGCAACCCTTGAGCCTTTACAGGGGGTTGAAAAAGAAATAATTGGCCCCCCCAACACACCAAATTTCAATTTATAATAGCACAAATTGTTCTCCGAGATTTGCACCATTTTGCACCATAAATATTAAATTTTGCACCGCAACCCTTAAGCCTAGTTCTCATGGTGCGGGATTCCGCATTGCGGGTCCGGAAATCCAGTGTTCCCAACTCGGTGTATTTTTCACCAAAACTGGAGAATTCCAGTGTGTCAAAGAGTATTTTAAGACGAGTTTGAGGATGTTCTCAAAGCTGGTGTATTCTGATTTAATTTGGAGAATATCTAGTGAGAATTCCATTGAAAACCCGCAGACATCATATTTTTATTTTTTGTTTTCATATGCAGAAAGAAATTGACACAAATACATTTAGAGCGCCCTTTTTTGAAAATAGAAATCGCTACAGAAGAACCAATACCGACAACGCCACCCGACAGCCAGCCAGAACCTAACCCAACTTTTTTCTCTCACTTTGTCTTTGGTCTTTCTTTGTGCTTGTGTTGTGGTGTGGATTTGATTTTACATTTTCCAGTATTTTTTCAAGTGGTTGTGTTGTATTATGGTTTTACTTGTTCTTGCAATCGTTGGCTCAGTTATCTGAGTATCTGCCGGAACTGGACTGCCGCCTGTGTTCATAAATTTTCCCTTCCAAAAGTAAGTACATAAATCTCTTTGTTTGAAAATAATTTGTATTTTGTATTTTTTTTTAGTGCCAAATTCAAATTACACACAAAAATATAGAGGCGAGTGGGAAAAGCTGCCGGAAATGAAAGGTTGGCTGCAACCATGCACTACAGACTACACCAAAGCCTACTGCAAGTACTGTAAATGTTTCATCAATGCCAAGCTCGGTGATATTAAAAAACATATTAAAAGTTTAAAGCACAAAGCAGCCGAGAAGCCTTTTTCATGTCCAAGGCAGCAGAAATTAAACTTTGAGCCAAATAATAATAGAGTTGTTACTCCTCAGCAAAAGAAAGAAGGTGAAATTTGTTTATTCGTCGCTGCACACACATCTATAAATGCTATTGATCACTTGTGTGAAATAAATAATGTTCCTGTTCATCGGACTAAATGTACAAATTTAATTAAAAATGTTGTGGGTCCCCATTTCCTGAAAGACTTACTGCTTGATGTAGGAGATAATCCATATAGTCTTATAATTGATGAATCCACTGACGTTGCTGTTTTGAAAATGTTAGGACTTGTTATTAGATTTTTCAGTAAGAAACATTCAAAAATAGTTAGTACATTCTTGTCATTAATAAACATTGAAAATGGAACTGCAGAGTGCATCGTTGAGGCTATAAAGCAGCTGTTGACAAAACTTAAATTGAAATTAGACAATTTGCAGGGCATTGGTACTGACAATGCTTCAGTAATGATAGGAATTACAAACGGTGTTTTTGCAAAATTAAAAGAGGATGTTCCGCATCTGGTTTTAGTGCGTTGTGTTTGCCATTCATTACAATTAGCAGTTTCCTGTGCCTCAGAAAAAACTTTGCCCAGGAATATTGAATTCCTAATCAAAGAAACATACAACTGGTTCAGTCACAGTTCAATTAGACAGCTTTCCTATAAAGAAATTTATTCTTTAATCAATAATGGCGAAGAACCATTAAAGATTCTACAGATGGCTGCAACCAGATGGATTTCCATCGAACCTGCTCTCAAACGAATATTGGAACAATGGGATAGCTTGAAAGCACATTTCGATATTGTTCGTTTAAAAGACAATTGTTACACAGCTGAAATGCTGTATTCTATGTACAAAGATCTCAACAATAAGGTATATTTGGAATTTATATATACCATTGTTAATTTAGTACAGGCTACAAATAAAAGCTTTGAGGCATCAAATGCTGATGTTACGAAATTATTTGGTAATTTGAATCACCTGTATTTAACTTTTGTAAAGAAAATTGTAATTCCAAATGCAAATATTCATATTTCTTCAATAGTAGATGACTTCGAAAACCGCTTGGACCCTAATCCTTACTTGGGATATGCCTTCGAAAAGTCTTGTAGTGACTGCCATTTAGACCAACAAAGTAAAGAAATGATAAAAGGTCGTTGTGTTTCGTTTCTAATTGAACTGGCGAAACAGCTGAGACAGAGGTTACCGGACAATATAAAAATTTTAAACAATATGCAGTATTTCTCAGTGACCGAGTGCTTGAAACCAAATAAAATGCCTATCACAGAGATAGCCACTCAGTTTTATAATGATGCCCAGACAGTATCCAAAATTGAAAACGAATGGGCTAGTCTACATTTGATAAACTGGGCTGAAACACAAGTTACAGAGCAATTTTGGATAGAAGTAAATACTTACAGGGATGCATCAGATGAAAATCCTTTCCAAAATCTAGTCAATCTTGCTTTAAGAATCCTTTGCT